TGTTCTATTAGGCCTATGTATAACGTGTACTGATGCATATTTACATGTTTAGAAGTATTCATTTTCAGTGATCCCAGGAAAGAATTTGTATTGGCTGAAGAATAAGCTTTAAAATTTAAAAATTTAAAACACTGTGTACAAAGGGGGGAGCCGCGGCTCCCACGGCTCCCCCCTGGATACGTCTCTGGCCAGAGGTATTAGGTGTGATGCTTGCAGTAGAGTGTGCTCCATCATTGTTGTTTATATTTATTTCTGGTCCATAAAAGGAGTTCAGGTTGAAAACAGGATGGGCAATAACAGCTAGAATATAAGTAAGGTACCTTTGCTCCGAAAAATCGTTTACTCGTTTTCCGTTTTTTTTTCTATGTTTAACTAGACTTGCAATCCCAAGGCTAGTAAACAATGACCTCAACTGAGTCCACTGTGGACGACTGCACAGGGCCTCAATGCATTCACTATTGTGTGTACACTCACTGTAAAAGCTCTTAGTTGGGCTTAGCAAATGGTCAAGAGTTCCATCGAAAATACAGCACCATTGCACAGAAACTCGGTATTTGCAATATAACCATGAATTCCTTGCACCATCAAAACTTGAGAAAACGTCATTCGAACAGGTAGACAGGGCCAGGCCCAGGCCCATGCAACTAGATAAGAGAACTGCAGCAATCACAATTTTGAACATTCTATTTCAATTTTCATTAACTTGTGTTTTTAGGGGCCTGAAGAGGTTTGTAACGTTTTGTCCTTTACATCGTAGGCCTATATACATCGTGCGTAAAAACAGTCCTTTGATCTTTAATCTGTGGCATCGACAATCCGATACTAGTTGCGACTACAGCCGTCAATTATTATCTATGCGTGCCATACGTTTTATGGTGTTAGTTACTATTTTATTAATTTTGGGTATTTCGAAATGTCTGTTACATTTGATTTCTTTTGACCACGAGCTTCTATAAGCTACAATTTGATTCGTAAAAATTTACCAACAAAATGAAAAGTTATAGCAATTAAAAATTTACGATTTTTATCAACTTTCATGTTCTTATATAACATTAAACTGTCATCTTGACAATGTTGGACGAAGATGCACAAAACGAACATTTGAGTAGATACACAAGATGTATATATTATTTCTGCGAAGTCAGTCTCATAAACGACAATACACCACAACATCGGTAAAATTAATTTAACTAATCAGAAAAAGCTATGAAACTTGTTAAAACTGTCAGACTAGGTACGTGGCTGTAGCATTCATATTCAATTAAAAATGCTTGGGTCATTATATTCCTATTAATTCCAACGTTTTCCTGAATGCCTAAAGCTATGAGATTAAGTAACGCATTTTTTCTCATGTGAATGTCGTCTCCATTTTTTAAGAATTTTTTTTTTCAACAATAATATAAAATCGACCAGAAAAATAATTTATTTTTGAGAAATAAGCGGGCCGGATTAAATTTTTATGGGACCGGAGTTGGTTCGCGGGCCGTGGTTTGAATATACCGGGGTATAGGCTATATAATATAATAATGGGCAGGTACCACGAGCTTCACAATCTTATTAAACTATTTAAACACATAAATTATCGCAATTATGTTTCGGTAGGCTGAGAAAAAGAATATTTTATATGATAACTAACCAAGGATGAACTCATTTGCATATTTCAACACCTCGTATTTTAGGATATGTTACTTTGTATTGCAAAGAGTCTCGACAAACTGATCGCCAGTGGACACTAGCTACATACGGAAGCAATACAATATAATGGACAAAATGGAAATGAACTGGTGTGAGAATAAATCAACACTTATCGAATAAATAAGCTAATAAGACAATTGATCGAGAAATGAATTCATTTGTATATATTACGTGTTGAGATTTATTGCTCAGGGTTTAGTAAATATACAAACTGACCACCAGTATGGACACATAATTACGAAAGTTATAACCCTACAAATATTAGACAATAAAAAAAGCGGGTAGAATATACAATATCGAATAAAACAAACCAATGATATGAAAATCCGATCGAATGATCTATCTATCAATCAATTAATCGACCAATCAATCAATCAATCACTCACTCAACCAATTTTTCAGTCGATCAATCAATTAACAGATCAATCAATCAATCGATCGATCATTCAAACAACTAATCAATCAATTAATCAATATATACAAAATGTACAAAAACAATATAAATCTATATAACGTTGCATATTAATATAATCTATTAAAATATTTATCTTTATCATTATGCGAGGGTTTATTACTGAACAATTTATCAGCTTTCAACAACTCACAGATCAAATAACAAATTAATTCCAACGATCTACAGGCGTCTTACTACGAAAACAATTAAACATTCTTGTAGAAATTTAAAAGTATAGTATATTCAAAGAATAGAGAAATGGTAAAATATACAGATCCAGTGTCTTTAAACGATCTCAATAACTTGGTTGATTTAACCAGATTACGATTCTTTTGATAAAAATAGTTTAGACAATCAACGCTTTGTTTTATTTTTCTTGATCATTCTTGCCAGTTCATCCAGAGCTTCGTAGAGCCCCTCACCGGTCGTTGCCTGAGCTGCTTGTATGTGCCATGGGTTTCCGTGCAATTTGTTGAGGGAAAGAGCATCTCCCAATCTCGATGGCGAGAGCGCACCTGTAAATATAAGTTAAGGATGAGTTATGTACAAAAATGACAACAGCTAATGTTTACTAATGTAAAAAAGCACGGTTTATAAAATCATGACACAGACAAGTAGACAATTAACATTATGGCCTTATTAAAATGTCATATTAATTATTGTAATTATTGATTATTAGTGACAATGATAACGATAATGTTGATGAATGATGGTGATGAATGTTGGTGATGGTAATAAATGGTGGCTGCTCCTGCGGTGGTGATGATAATGATGGTAATTAATAGGGCGACGATGACGACGACGATGATGATTTGATGATGATTAGTATTTTTTTCTTTCTTATCCAACCAACAGCAACAGCATTATAGGATGGAACGATATTTCTATAAATTAAATCCCTTTAAGAGGTTTAGGAAGCAAACCGAGGAGTTAGGAGACAAAAACTTAAAACTCCACTCCATATAGGGCAAGGTGGCGATGATGATAAACAATGATATATAAATCAGCAACATATAGCAATTAAGCCTAATTAATTATAATCAATTCAGCGTGGCAACACGATAAAACGAGTGGTCAGAAGTTGAATAACAGATGAAACTACAGACAAGTAATTGTTGTAATACCATTTTAATGGAAGACCACCCACAGTTTAACAACTAAATATTTTAATAATAGGTAAATATAGCAACTGTCTCTTATACACATCTAGATGTGTATAAGAGACAGATATTTGTAGGCTGAGAAAAAGAATATTTTATATGATAACTAACCAAGGATGAACTCATTTGCATATTTCAACACCTCGTATTTTAGGATATGTTACTTTGTATTGCAAAGAGTCTCGACAAACTGATCGCCAGTGGACACTAGCTACATACGGAAGCAATACAATATAATGGACAAAATGGAAATGAACTGGTGTGAGAATAAACCAACACTTATCGAATAAATAAGCTAATAAGACAATTGATCGAGAAATGAATTCATTTGTATATATTACGTGTTGAGATTTATTGCTCAGGGTTTAGTAAATATACAAACTGACCACCAGTATGGACACATAATTACGAAAGCTATAACCCTACAAATATTAGACAATAAAAAAGCAGGTAGAATATACAATATCGAATAAAACAAACCAATGATATGAAAATCCGATCGAATGATCTATCTATCAATCAATTAATCGATCAATCAATCACTCAACCAATCAATCACTCACTCAACCAATCTTTCAGTCGATCAATCAATTAACAGATCAATCAATCAATCGATCGATCATTCAAACAACTAATCAATCAATTAATCAATATATACAAAATGTACAAAAACAATATAAATCTATATAACGTTGCATATTAATATAATCTATTAAAATATTTATCTTTACATTATGCGAGGGTTTATTACTGAACAATTTATCAGCTTTCAACAACTCACAGATCAAATAACAAATTAATTCCAACGATCTACAGGCGTCTTACTACGAAAACAATTAAACATTCTTGTAGAAATTTAAAAGTACAGTATATTCAAAGAATAGAGAAATGGTAAAATATACAGATCCAGTGTCTTTAAACGATCTCAATAACTTGGTTGATTTAACCAGATTACGATTCTTTTTATAAAAATAGTTTAGACAATCAACGCTTTGTTTTATTTTTCTTGATCATTCTTGCCAGTTCATCCACAGCTTCGTAGAGCCCCTCACCAGTCGTTGCCTGAGCTGCTTGTATGTGCCATGGGTTTCCGTGCAATTTGTTGAGGGAAAGAGCATCTCCCAATCTCGATGGCGAGAGCGCACCTGTAAATATAAGTTAAGGATGAGTTATGTACAAAAATGACAACAGCTAATGTTTACTAATGTAAAAAAGCACGGTTTATAAAATCATGACACAGACAAGTAGACAATTAACATTATGGCCTTATTAAAATATCATATTAATTATTGTAATTAATGATTATTAATGACAATGATAACGATAATGTTGATGAATGATGGTGATGAATGTTGGTGATGGTAATAAATGGTGGCGGCTCCTGCGGTGGTGATGATGATGATGGTAATTAATAGGGCGACGATGACGACGACGATGATGATTTGATGATGATTATTATTTTTTTTCTTTCTTATCCAACCAACAGCAAATATCTTTCAAAATTACAGGATGGAACGATATTTCTATAAATTAAATCCCTTTAAGAGGTTTAGGAAGCAAACCGAGGAGTTAGGAGACAAAAACTTAAAACTCCACTCCATATAGGGCAAGGTGGCGATGATGATAAACAATGATATATAAATCAGCAACATATAGCAATTAAGCCTAATTAATTATAATCAATTCAGCGTGGCAACACGATAAAACGAGTGGTCAGAAGTTGAATAACAGATGAAACTACAGACAAGTAATTGTTGTAATACCATTTTAATGGAAGACCACCCACAGTTTAACAACTAAATATTTTAATAATAGGTAAATATAGCAATACATTGGGGAAAAAATGCATAAATAAAGAGTCAATTGACTTCTTACCAGGTAAATCCTGCTTGTTTGCGATGACGCAGACTGGCACACCTCTCGTCATTTCTTGGCTTTCGAGAATGCCGAACAGTTCTTCTTTAGCCTCCTCGAACCGGGTGCTGTCAGCACTATCCACAACGAAAATCAGACCTGAACAAAAATATACAATTTTTGTTTAGGCACACTGACCAGTGGCGGCGCCAGCGGGGGAGGGGGAGGGGGAAGCAGGGGCTTAAAGCCCCCACCGGATAGGTCAAGCTCCCCCATCGGACAGAGCTCGTCGGGCAGTTGGACTAAAAAATATATGAAAATAGGCCCACGCCAAGCCAACACAATTGTCTGTCACAATCAGAGAGTGTCATTTCTGGCCATCCAGAGGTTCCTATTCTTTAAAAAATCTCATTTGGAAGGGGGAACACCCTCTCAAACCCTTCCCCCAGCTCAAGCACCCCTCCCCTCAGAAAATATATCCTAGAGCCGCCACACTGACAAAATACTGTTAAAAGAATAATGCAATTGTGCACAAACTTACATCATGACAAATGACAAACGGCTCTACAAATGATGATGGGGAAAAGGAAAGTAAATTTGAAGGGGGTGGGGTGGTTGACGTAATACGAGGTGATTTTTAACCACTAGAATGTATATCTTTTTGCTCAGCAAATATTTAAAGAAGGCTACAGTAGAACCCCTCCTTTAGGAAACCCATATTAAGGGAGCACCCCTACGGCCAACTCCGAGGGGACACCTCTATTAAAGGGACACTTTTTGGTCCAGAAAGTTAATACTCATATTAATTGGAGAGATGTATTAACAAGTAAACTGAAAAATATACTGGAGTGACGAAGCGCAATTAAAAATTAAATGTATGTTTGTATGTGTTTTTGTCGCAAATAAATACAAAATATGAAGCTTAGAAAATATGAATGCATGCTCTTAAATTTACAACATTCTTTCATTGATATGGAGATTTTGCATTTATGAAAGGAAAAAAAAATCCGCAACTCAAGAATTATAATTCAATTTAATTTTCTGAATAGAAAAAGCAGATATATACTTTTTTAAATATTAGCATTGGTTGTTTATTTTTTTTTTCGTGACGTCCGTTTTCCCATAAATTTTTCAACATGAATTTGATTAATAAGTTTGTAACGGCGATTTTCGTATTTTTTTTTAACGAATTTGCAACTACAATACAGTCAGTAACTCACTATATAGGCCGCATGCACACAGTGACAAACATTATTTAGATTCACTATTTATTCATTCATTATTCATGAAATGACAAACCCTCGTCAAGCAGTGGCACTTTAGGTCCTGGGTAAACCACGATATTTTAAAGATGTAAATACCAAAAAAATGCATAAAAATAATTTTTGAAATTAACTTGCCCATTTTGAAGTAACATAAAAGTTATCAACTTGAACATAGAAATTAGTGTATTTAAAAAATGTCTACCCATCAGTTTACAGTGAAAATGATAAACACTTCCAGTCACTGGACGTGATTTTTTTTTTTTTTTTTTTGGTTTAAAAATCAGGGTACACATTTTTTAAATTCAATAATTTTTATGCACAAGTTAATAATTTGTATGCTATTGAAATATGAGCAAGTTCATTTCAAAATTATTTTTTTAAATGATTTTTTGACATTAGCAAGGGACAACACATCTTTAAAGAACATTTCAGAGAGTATTAAAAATCTAGGAAGATATGACTGTAGGCCTTCATAGTCATTAGTTTGCAGGTATAAAATTTAAGGCATCGGAAAAGTTTGAACTTAATGCTAACCTTCTGTGCCCTGGTAATAGTGTCTCCAAAGGCAACGAATCTTGTTCTGGCCACCAACGTCCCATACTGTAAATGTCACATTCCTGTTTGGGGACACCTCCTCTACGTTGAAACCAATCGTGGGAATCGTTGTAACAGTTTCATTTAGTTTCAGTTTGTATAATATTGTTGTTTTACCTGAATCATAACAGACAAAAATGTTACCAAAATATCTAATATATAAACTGTAAAAAAAAAATCTAATATATAAACTGTAAAAAAAAGGAAGTATTCAGTATAAATCAAAATAAATAAATAGACCTATACTAATTAAGGAGAAATATTATTCTTTTTTTGTTGAACTATATGAATTTGTTCGCTAAACCTGCTATTGTCATACAATGACATAACATAAAATTTAACATAAAATTACATCGGCCTATTCAATCGCAAGATTAGGTGGCTGTAGGCATGTTGGTATCTTTATAAGCATTGTGAGCACTATAAACATGTCATTTTGTCTTCGTGTAAAAAAAATAAAAATTCTGTTCCAATATATTGACTATGTATATTATGTGTAATCTGTGCACTATAAACAAAAGGTTGTATGTGCCGTCATCTAATGAATATTCAACTGCGAACAATATCATTACGTTCGACCAGCTGTGGACATTATTATAGAGGGTCTGCTAACATTCTTACCTTACCAAAACTCATAATAATTATTCAATTATTTTCAGAATTTTAAAAATGTCCATAGTTATTGAAAAGTTGCAAAGCTTATTGAAACAAAAATGATTCTGACAATTACGGATCTTACATTGTTTTAAAAATATTAATATTAATAATAAGAAGCATTTATATAGCGCCTTCGCAAAAATAAAGATCAAACGCTCAGCATTTAAAATCAATTTTTACAAAGTTAAAAGCTAAGTACAGTACACTAATAAAAAAAAATCAATCAATAAAAGTGACAAATATAAATTACTACATACAATTTCCTCCAAATAATGCCATTTAGTGATAAAATAACAACAATAAAGTAAAGTATATATGAAAGATTTAAAAAGTATTAATTAACCAAGTGTTATACAATACAAAAAACTAGTCTATTTGTAAGAAAATGTGTAAAGGTGCAGTAGGTAGGCCTATAGATCTACGTAGACCTAAGAATAATATCATAAAAAATGAATAAACCCTTACCTGCTGCATCTAAACCAAGCATAAGAATGCGACAAGGACCGTCCTTAAACGAATTCAATAACATATCTCCTAACTTGGAAATAATCAAACCCATTCTGATACAATAAATTCGATTATTCGACGTTATTCAAATTTGTCCAATATCGTCTTCTGGAATTTACGATTGGTATGTCACAACTGTCAAGTCTTCACGTTTATATAGGTACCCAGTTGTGTAATATGATGTGATATTGAATACGTGGAGAAAACTATGTCGCCTCATTTGCATATCTATAAATAACCTAGGTGGATTTTAAATCTGACGCGGTTAGAAGTCGTGTTTCGCAGTGCGTCTACAAAAGTATCCTCAACATGCAGGTCATTTATATTTAGGGATAATCAAACGTCAAAGCCCTAAATAAATAACAGCCTAAAATTTAAGACAAGATAGGTGATATTTGTATTGAAGAAGATTCCTTTGATCAACCGCCAGGTGAACCGTTATATTTTCACGGAAGGCTTTAGTTGTCTAGGTACACTGTAATATGTCAATAGGGCCTAATATGAAATTTATCAAGAATTTAGAATGTGAATATGATTATTATAAATACAATTATAACAAAATGGTAAAATGGTAATGGTAATTGTTTACGCATTCGTTTCCTCCACGTCGTTCCAAGTTACAGTAACGAATTCAATAACATATTTCCTAACTTTGAAATAATGAAACCCATTTTATTACAGTAATCCGATTATTCGACGTTATTCAAATTTAATGACCTATAATACTGTCTTCTTATTAATTTACAATTGGTATGTTACAACTGTCAAGTCTTCATCTTTATATAGGTACCGTACCCATTTCGTAATAAAAGGATGTGGCATTGAATAGGTGGAGGAAATTGTGTCGCCTCATTTGCATTTCTACAAATAACCAAGGCGGATTTTAAATCTTGACGCGGTTTATTCGTATTTCGCAGTGCGTCTACAGAAACATCGTATATGCAGGTCATTTATGTTTAGGCCTAATCGGGACGTCGAGGTCCTACTAAACAAACAAGCCTAAAACCTTAGAAAAGATGGACATTGTTAGTATTAATAATAATTACTTGGATCAAGCGCGCCCAGGTGGAACCTTGATTGTCACGGCGTTAGTTGGCGGCCTGTAAATAACTGCAACTAGCAAATGCTTAGTCTTACTTAATTTAATTTTAACCCAGATAATTTCAAGTTTCAAGATGTGTCAAGCGCCGGGATTTATATTGATTCGATGCAAGGAGCAAAACACCACCTCCTCTTCTGCCATCATCTCTATCTTTTCCTCCTCTTCTGCCATCATCTCTATATTTTCTGTAAATAGTGAAGCTTGGGCAGTGAAGTTCTGAGTCAAACACTCTTGAGTTTAACCACGTCTCAGTAAATCCAACGAAGTGGAACGTGGGGTTTAAAAGATGCGCATTTAATTCCGAGTGTGATATGTTTCTAATTTATTTTTAAGACTTCTAATATTTTGATAATAAAATTTAGGTTTGTAAGTGCCAGAGGTATTAGGCGTGATGCTTGCAGTAGAGTGTGCTCCATCATTGTTGTTTATATTTCCTGGTCCATAAAAGGAGTTCAGGTTGAAAACAGGATGGGCAATAACAGCTAGAATAGTAAGGTACCTTTGCTCCGAAAAATCGTTTACTCGTTTTCCGGTTTTTTTTCTATGTTTAACTAGACTTGCAATCCCAAGGCTAGTAAACAATGACCTGAACTGAGTCCACTGTGGACGACTGTACAGGGCCTCAATGCATTCACTATTGTGTGTACACTCACTGTAAAAGCTCTTAGTTGGGCTTAGCAAATGGTCAAGAGTTCCATCGAAAATGCACAGAAACTCGGTATTTGCAATATAACCATGAATTCCTTGCACCATCAAAACTTGAGAAAACATTATTAGACAGGGCCAGGCCCAGGCCCATGCAACTAGATAAGAGAACTGCAGCAATCACAACTTTGAACATTCTATTTCAATTTTCATTAACTTGTGTTTTTAGGGGCCTGGAGAGGTTGTAACGTTTTGTCCTTTACATCGTAGGCCTATATACATCGTGCGTAAAAACAGTCCTTTGATCTTTAATCTGTGGCATCGACAATCCGATACTAGTTGCGACTACAGCCGTCAATTATTATCTATGCTCTTATACACATCTAGATGTGTATAAGAGACAGGATCTACGTAGACCTAAGAATAATATCATAAAAAATGATTAAATCCTTACCTGCTGCATCTAAACCAAGCATTAGAATGCGACAAGGACCATCCTTAAACGAATTCAATAACATATCTCCTAACTTTGAAATAATCAAACCCATTCTGATACAATAAATCCGATTATTCGACGTTATTCAAATTTGTCCAATATCGTCTTCTGGAATTTACGAGTGGTATGTCACAACTGTCAAGTCTTCATCTTTATATAGGTACCCAGTTGTGTAATATGATGTGGTATTGAATACGTGGAGAAAATTGTGTCGCCTCATTTGCATTTCTATAAATAACCTAGGCGGATTTTAAATCTGACGCGGTTAGAAGTCGTGTTTCGCAGTGCGTCTACAAAAACATCGTCGACATGCAGGTCATTTATGTTTAGGGATAATCAAACGTCAAAGCCCTAAATAATAACAGCCTAAAATTTAAGACAAGTTAGGTGATATTTTTATTGAAGAAGATTCCTTTGATCAACCGCCCAGGTGAACCGTTAGATTGTTACGGAAGGCGTTAGTTGTCTAGGTATACTGTATTAATATGTCAATAGGGCCTAATATGAAATTTATCAAGAATTTAGAAGGTGAATAATATGATTATTATAAATACAATTATAACAAAATGGTAAAATGGTAATGGTAATTGTTTACGCATCCTCCACGTCGTTCCAAGTTACAGTAAAGAACAGCGATTGTAATTACGTCATATATCAAAAAT